CGAGGAAAAGTACTTTTTCCTCGTAATCTCCTCGTAAATGTACTAAGGTCTTACGAGGAAAGTGTTTCCTCGTAAGTTTTCGAGGAACTTACGAGGAAATTTGCTTTCCTCGTAAGATCCTAGTAAAGGCTTAGTAAATTTACGAGGAAGAATTTTCCTAGTAAAATTTCCTAGTAAATGCTTTGTTTTCTTGTAGTGTCGAAAGATGTTTGTAGTTTGTTTTTTTGTTTTTTTTTTTAATATCTTATAGTTTATTTAGATAATTTAACTAATTTGAAATTAGGTTTATTAATAGTTTAAATATTTTGAATTTTTTGTCAATTTTTAATGTTTAAAAAACATTTTTTGGGATGATTTCAGATATTGGTTACAATCCAATCCAAACTGAATTGAGAAGATCAAATCGAATCCAATCCGATAATTAGTAAAATTCAAATAAGATTTATGAGAATAATACCAAAATCTGAAAATACGTCTCAATCAAACTAAAACTGACGAAGTCTCAAACTTCTAGACCTATGATGATTTAAGATACCAACATTTGTATTCATCATTTTATAATCGATAAATACTGCAATATTGCAAAATGTTAAAAACCATTTAATAAATAAATATTAGTATAAAAGTTTCACTCCGCGCATGCGCGCGGGTGCATTAGTATTCTAAATGATCTACATATAGTTGTAGACGGACGATATTAGAAAACTATTACTATTTATGGCTGAGATATTTTTCTTGGTTTGTCAAAATATATCTTCTAGACTATTTTGGCAAGATATTTTTCTTGGTTTGACAAAATAAAAAGGCAGATATTTTTCTAAGGAAAAACGTGTCAGATAATTTGATGCAACAACTGCCTACGTTAGCAATTAATCTCATGTAAGCAAAATATCCATTTCAGCCAAAACCTGTGGATAACTTTAATTAGTTTTTTCGTTTTTATCCAATCACATCTAACTATGGTTTATAAACACAAACTTTATGTTATTTAATCCTAAAGTTTATCCAAAATCTAATGAGATCTAATTTAACTTTTAAATATTCTTAAAAAAGTAAAAAGACAAGAAACTGGAATAAAAAAAAAGGAATGATCGAAACTCTGACGTACGCAACTAGGACCAAAACACAACAAACAACCTCGAACCTCCTCAGCAGCTCCGGAAAAAAAAATATCTGGCTGATATTTTGTGGGAAGATATTTATCGTTGCCGATGACGTGGCAGTACGTGTAAAAAGCGAAAGCCATGTGGACCTTTTCATTCTTTCTTCATCTCTTTCTTCTCCTCCTCATTCCAAAAGGCCAACAAAGTTTTTCTCTTTCCGTAAGCGAACGCATCACAAAGAGCATCGATGGAGAAGGAGTATGGTGTGAATACTGTTTCTCTCGAGATGGATCGCGGTGCGGAGGAGGCGTCGGGAGAATCTCAGAGCGAGTCGACTCTCTCTAACTCGCCCGAGTCGGGTCTTACGGTCGAGAGCTCTCGTGGTGTTGCGGATTCGAAGAAGATGGTATAAATAAAATTCGCGAACTTTGAATGGTGGAAGTTAATTTTCGTGGTTTTAGCTATAGATTCGTAATGAAAGAAAGAAGTATCGATTTGGAAGTTAGTTTGATTATATATGGTAGGAAGCTTCGGATCTGATGTTACGATTAGGTCATATACGTTAGTTGGAAAATTGATTGATTTTTTTTTTTAAAAAAAAGAAGAAAACTGATGTTGCAAAATGTCTTCTTCAGCCAATATCAAAGGTTCAATTTTTTTGGTAGATACTGTTGCTTTGGTTTCAGTTTCCTCCTTGTTTATTATCTGAAGATTTTGATTGTTTTACGAAAGTGTTTTTGGACGCTGATGCAATGTGATGTTGAGTTCTATAACTAATATTACTTGATAAGCTTTAGCTTTAATGAAAAGTCATATCTTTTATAAAACTGATTTGTGTGTGTTCTTCTTCTGAGTGATTACAGTTTGTGTTTAGTGGTTGCAATAGTTTTTTTTTTTGCTTTGTCTCTGAAGCGTATAAGAACATATGATTGTTCTTTGTGTTGCAATAGTTTAAGTTCTTTCGCATTTCTTTCTACTGGATGAATCTCAGTTGGTATCGTTTCTTGTAAAATTGTCTCTACAGGGTGAAGGTGCTGGTTGGACGAATGAGAAACACAACTCGTATCTTGCTTATTTAGAGAACTCGTTTGTTAAGCAGTTGTATTCCTTACTTGGAGGAGAGGAAACTCAGAGACTCTCTAGAACTCGTGATGTGCAGTATGACTCACACAAATCGACTGATCAGGTTTTGGTCTTTTGCTTACGGCTTCTTTTGGTAGCTCTAGTCCTGTTGTGAAACTTACTAGTACATTCTCTTTTTGCAGTTTACGGTACTACAAAATGGTTGCCGCCAGAAGGTTAACTTCGGAAAGAAACGACCTCATTTAGAGACGTCTTCGGGAACTCCTGTCCAAGTTAAGGAAGAAATCGTAAACTCTAGTGATAAGAATTTCACTAAAACATCCATGAGAGCTTCTTTTGGGCATCAGTATCCAACTCAAAGCACTGCAGGTAACATTTTGCTTAGCTTAGTTTTAGCCAAACTCTTCTTGGGAGTTATATGTTTGGCATCTTCCCTTTGTTGTCTGAGAACTATGCTGATAATGTTAATTAGATTAGTACTTGATTTAACTATGCATTGGCTTTTAGTTACTGCGGAAATATAGAGCTGATATATGATTGTCTGCTTGATAAATACTATAATTTCAGTCTAAAGTCTAAACTTTAGCCTCTTATCATTTTTTTCTTGCAACTCCAGAGGCGTCAGGGCAGAATTTCAGAGAAGAAGTAGAAGAGAAGGGATGTGATTTAAGGGTATCTAGGAAACGCAGAAGAGAAGCCAACTATGATGATAATTCATTGAATGATCAGGTAAAATATAGAAAGAAAAAAAGAACACATACCAAAATAACTTGTCTTGTATTATGCTGAAGAGAGTAGTACTGTATTTTCTCAGGTTGTGCCGTAAGGGATGGTGAAGCCGCGCATAGGAAGTGAAGTGTAGATGAATTACTATGAATAGAGACTAAAGTAGGAACTGTGAGTGGAGAATGAATGTGGAGGGCTTTGTTTGTTGTATAGAACGAGGCTAAAGAGAGCCTTATAAAGAGATCCAATGGGATGGAATTAGGATTGTTTGTTAAATTTTGTCTTTGTTATTGTTATAATATTAGCATATGATCGTCATACCTTTCATAGCTTTTCAATCTTTAATTCTTTTAGTTTACCTTGTATCTCTACCTTATTTTGGTCTTCGTTTTCTAGAAAATATCTTTTGTGAACTTCTATAAATTCTTTCAATGTTACTTTTTATAAACATGTCAACTAATGTCTTGCTAGAAGTAACGATTTTTACGGTGAAATAATATACACAACTTGTGTTGGGACTTTTAATCTGAATGGCATTTATGCAAGTAGCGAGTGTATATTCACGTGAATGAAAGTCTAATTTTAACTGTTACAGTAGGAAATCATGCATTAGTTATCCAGAGGCTCGAAGACAAGGACCATGTTAGCTGATATGAACTGTTGAATAAAGGAAATGAGAATTTTTTTTTTTTTTTTTTTGGTAAATGAGAAATATATTACGTTTCTTCCACATTCACCTTTAAGTTTTTAAGGTATAGATTGTTAGTAGAATTAAGAAACCGTCTTTTAACTATTAAGAATTGGTTCTTAGTTTTTTTAATTGAAAGATATGGTTTCTTAATTTCGCTAAAAATCCCCTAGACTATATTTAAGAAGTGATTTTACCACATGTCATCTCTACAATCATTCTCGTTGAAAAAAATATGATATGGCACTTAAAAAAATGACATAGCATCATCTTTAATTGTGAGATGTACTTATAAAAATTTAAATTTTTTTGCATGGATTTTAAATATGGTAATAAAACTAACTTATATATCATCAATAATATCATTTTTTCATATAAATATTTATTTATGCTAAACTATTACATATTTTAATATTTCATATATCACAATTAAAATAATAATATATATGTATTTCACATTAATAAAATAAACTAAATAAAGTAACACTAACACAAAAAAAAATTGATAGTTAAATATTTAAACATTATTTAAATTTATCTATTCATCTTCATCATTTAAATTGACAAAAAGATTTTTCAATTTAACTAAAACAAACAAAGTCTCAAATTTATTAGAATTTTGACTTGGTTGCTCTTTTTGGGAATGATAAACTGACTTTTCTTTTAGTATATATGTAAAAAGCAAAAAAAAAAACAGAAACAATGTATTTTTTCTCTTCGTAATATTTTAATAAAAGTAACTAAATTGATTAAATTATTGAAAAAAAAGAAAGTGAGTATTAATCGAAAATAACTCTTTATTTTCTAGAAATGGGCAACCCTAAGAGTTAAAAACCCTAATTAATTTCTAGACAGAAATAATGACGATGATCACGGATCTTTCATTGGATTTGTTAGAGGAGACTCTAAGGTCCCGATAACTTCTCTAAAAGCAGTAAAATCCACTTGCAAAAGATAGACCACTCTATGCGAAGATGAGAGGTTTAGAAATATACATTGTAGACAATCAACCAAAGAATTTTTAATGTTCATGGCTTTTGGTGGTTATTGGTATGAAAGAAGATTCAGTCTCCACGGAATTCATAACATCAAAGACTTGCCATGTATGAAGGAGATAGGAAAACTACAGAGTCCTGATCGAAAAATATATATGTATATCTCCTATATATTAATCATGAACATTATAACATGTTTTTGTAGCCACGTGTCATCACTAGAACAATTCTTAGAATCCTTAGAAAAATTAGTTGGTCCATATAATATATATTATATTTTTTATTAAACTAACTATTGAAATAATTAGTAGTGTACAAAACAATATATTTTCTTTCCTTAAATAAAAGGTACGGGATTACCTAATATGATAATATATATGCAATTAATGATTATGAATAATAATACATATTTTTGTGTCCTATCTCTTTTTTTGTTTAGTTTTATATTATTAAAATAAATTAAACAACCACATTAAATATATAATAAAAATTTATTTTTTCTTATATCTTATATTTTGAATTTTTTAAACGACTATAAATTGCTAAAAATAGTAAAAGTTCCACAATGAAAATTTTAACAATGCAGTGTTTTGATTATAATTTTAAATATATAGATATATATTCATATATATAATTTTAAGTTAAAATTTCTTTTATCATAATTGAATTTTTAATTAAATAAAATATATATTTAAATATTAGTAAGAAAATAATAAAACCTATAATATTAGTAAAATTTATTATTAAATATAATTTAAACTTAAAAAACTTTTCCCTGCACATGGTGTAGGAAAACACATAGTTCATACCATAACATGCTCTGAAGTCTTTGAGGATCTTAAGAAACAATAGTGTAACATCCCGAGTTGTGATATATGGAAATGTTTAAGAGAATTGATTTGGCTACATATATCACCAAAGTGCACATACCTTTTCAGGAGCACATTTAGAGAGAATTCCAGGGTTAAGCGTGCTTACGCTGGAGTAGTCTAAGGATGAGTGACCTATCGGAAGTGATTTGCGATACCGTGTAAGTGATGCCAAAGCATGGGAAAATGTCTTGTGGTGATTGCAAGGTCAGTAAACATAACTCTAAAGCCTTGGAAAATTAATGTACCAGCCGTTGGAACGGGATGGGGCCCATGGACCGAGTGAGCGGGTGTGGGTGACCTATTAGCCGTGGGCGTTCGGGGCGTTACAAGTGGTATCGGAGCTAGTTAGGCATCTCAATTCGGACCTGAGAGACGCCTTGAGATATGTCGTGAAGCGCAACAAGGACGTTGCGTTCTTTGAGAGGGGGTGAATTGTAACATCCCGAGTTGTGATATATGGAAAGATTTAGAGAATTGATTTGGCTACCTATGTCACCAAAGTGCATTTACCTTTTCGGGAGCACATTCAGAGAGAACTCCAAAGTTAAGCGTACTTGAGCTGGAATAGTATAAGGGTGGATGACCTATCGGAAAGTGATTTACGATACCGTGTAAGTGAGGCCAAAGTACGGGGAAAGGTCACTGCAGGATCAGTAAACATAACTCTAAAGCCTTGGAAAATTAACGGACCGGCCGTTGGAACGGGATGGAGCCCATAGACCGAGTGAGCGGCGTGGATGGCCTATTGGCTGTGGACGGTCGGTACGTTACAAATAGATTTATAATTGTTGGTTTCTTGCTCCCTGGTCTTCAGAGTTTTTTTTTTTTTTTGTTACGTCTCTTAATGGTTCACAATTATTATATGTTATGGCGCTGTGAAAAATCTGAAGAGCTTTTTGCGTTGAAATAGGGCTTGCGTTGTTGCGTCATGTTCGGTAATGAATCAACCACCACACTTTTTCACGCATGTCCTATAATAGTGACCGGTTCTGACACAAAACATTCTAGAGTTTCTGCTTAGCTCTGTCACTCGTGTTTCCGTTCTTTAACCGAAACTTCTATTATTGATGATGTAACCTCCGGATATGAGGCAAAGTCCTTGAAACAAAAGTGCGCCCTAAAAATAGACAAAGTAAGTAGAACCGTTAATGATTACAACATTGTCTTATTAATAACACATCATTATATCCTCCTAGAATCCTCTCACGCCCTTCTACAAGCAGCCTTGGGCGTCCTCCTAGGTTTCTGTTTTAGCCATGGCTAAAACTCCGTCCTTGGCCTGCTGTTTCTTCCTCTTATTCTTCTTCTTTATATCTTCTTCCTTTGTCGCATACGCCATATCCGATACAGAAGCTGCCTTCCTCGTGAGGCGACAACTCTTAACATTACCAGAAAACGGCGAACTCCCTAATGACATTGAATACGAGGTTGATCTCAAGGCTACATTTGCCAACACAAGGCTTAAAAAAGCTTACATTGCTCTCCAAGCTTGGAAAAAAGCAATATATTCAGACCCGTTTAACACCACAGGAAACTGGCATGGTCCTCACGTGTGTAACTACACTGGTGTGATATGTGCACCGGCTCTTGATGATTCTAATGTCACGGTTGTAGCTGGTGTTGACCTCAACGGTGCCGATATCGCAGGGCATTTGCCTGCTGAGCTTGGTTTGATGACAGATGTTGCTATGTTCCATTTGAATTCTAACCGGTTTTGCGGTATCATCCCTAATAGTTTTTCGAAACTGAAGCTGATGCATGAGTTTGATGTTAGTAATAACTGTTTCGTTGGACCTTTCCCGGGTGTCATACTCACTTGGCCTGATGTTAAATATTTCGACATTAGGTTCAATGATTTTGAAGGTCAAGTCCCTCCTGAGCTTTTCAAGAAAGAACTTGACGCTATTTTCTTGAACAACAATAGATTCACTTCGACTATTCCTGAATCTCTCGGAGAATCTTCGGCCTCGGTTGTGACATTCGCGAACAATAAATTCACCGGATGTATTCCCAAGAGTATTGGAAACATGAAGAGTCTCAACGAGATTGTGTTTATGGACAATAGTTTGGGTGGTTGTTTCCCATCTGAGATCGGAAAGTTATCAAATGTGACGGTTTTCGACGCAAGCAAGAACTCGTTCATCGGGCGGCTACCGATTAGTTTTGCCGGATTAACGGGTGTGGAGGAGTTGGATATCTCCGGGAATAAACTCACCGGGTTATTAGCGGATTGCATTTGCAAGTTGCCTAATTTGGTGAACTTTACCTACTCCTACAATTACTTCAATGGACAAGGTGGTTCGTGTGTTCCAGGTGGTAGTCGGAAGGAGATTGCATTGGATGACACACGTAATTGCTTACCTAATAGACCTGAACAACGGTCTGCCCAGGAATGTTCCGTGGTGATCAACCGTCCGGTTGATTGTAGTAAGGACAAGTGTGCTGGTGGTGGTTCCTCAACTCCATCATTGGTTCCCACTGTACCGGTTCAAAAGCCATCACCAGTTCCAACTCTGCCGGTTCAGGAACCCTCGCCAGTTCCTAGCCGGCCTGTTTACAAACCACAGCCACCAAAAGAGTCACAGCAACAGGATGATCCTTATGATCAGTCTCCAGTGAAGAACCGCCGCAGTCCTCCTCCACCAGCTCCAGTAAACTCTCCCTCACTTCCACTTCCATCACCTCCTCTACCACCACCGGTTCACTCTCCGCAACCTCCTGTGCACTCTCCGCCACCTCCTGTGCACTCTCCGCCACCTCCTGTCCACTCTCCACCACCACCCGTTTATTCGCCGCCACCGCCTGTCTACTCTCCTCCACCACCAGTCTTTTCACCACCACCTCCAGTGTACTCTCCACCACCACCACCCGTATATTCCCCGCCGCCACCAGTGCAATCTCCACCACCTCCTCCGGTTAACTCACCACCACCACCAGTTCTCTCTCCTCCGCCACCGGCACCAGTTCACTCACCACCACCACCAGCTCCGGTGGAGAAGAAACAGACGCCGGCTGCACAAGCACCAGCTCCCATGGAAAATATAGAGATGCCGGCTGCAAATGCTCCAGCTCCGGTGGAGAAGAAACAGACTCCGGCTGCACAAACGCCAGCTCCGGTAGAAAACATACATATGCCGGCTACACAAGCACCAGATCCAGTGGAAAACATACCAACACCCTCGGCACAAGCACCAGCTCCGGTGGAAAACATACCAACGTCCGCGGCACCAGCTCCGGTGGAAAACATACCAACGCCCTCGGCACAAGCACCAGCTCCGGTGGAAAACATGCCAACACCCGCGGCACAAGCACCAGATCCAGTGGAAAACATACCAACGCCCTCGGCACAAGCACCAGCTCCGGTAGAAAACATGCCAACGCCCGCTGCACAAGCACCAGCTCCGGTGGAAAACATACCAACGTCCGCGGCACAAGCACCAGCTTCGGTGGAAAACATACCAACGCCCTCGGCACAAGCACCAGCTCCGGTGGAAAACATGCCAACGCCCGCTGCACAAGCACCAGCTCCGGTGGAAAACATACCAACGCTGGCTACACAAGCACCAGCTCCGGTGGAAAACATACCATTGCCCGCTGCACAAGCACCAGCCCCAAGTGATGAGTTCATCATACCACCCTTCATCGGCCACCAATATGCATCGCCACCACCTCCAATGTTCCCAGGCTACTAACATCAATCAAAGAGAGAAAAAAGCAACTGTATCGCCCTAGACTAATAGTGTAAAACAAAAGAAGAGAAAATTCGAGGAAGAAGAAGAAGAAGACAATGGAAGGGTAATTAATGTATGAGAAGCAAAACCAACTTGTTACTCTGAGGTCAGATAGTTTTTGTACAATTACAACTTCTGATGGTCGATAAAGATTTATACTTCTAATCAAAAAGAATTGTATTCATTAACTTAAGTAGGTTTGAAACATTACAAGATGATTAGTTGTGTCTCTTGTTCTTGTGACTCTTTATACATATTACTACCATTTTTGGTTAGCATAAAGGTCACGACCCTTGACACATAAACAGAAGTTACATTTTAATAATTATTAAACTCAGTTACCTACTAACAAAGACAATATTTCTTCTACTGAAAAGACTGCCATTTAGATATGAAGAAGAAAACAATACGGACTTTGAGAAAACTAGAATGTTGAATGATAATCAGTATAAACCGACACTTGTGAATCAGAGTATTCGACCTAAATGTGAACTTGATCCACTTTTTGTTACTTGAACAAATTATTAGCTAGCTAGGGACAAAGGATCAGAGCCCGATCTATGGAGAATGTTCTAACTGGCTATAAGAACTTAAGCAGTAAGTAGATTGACAAACTATTACACTGCAACAAGTAACTATGATTTATTTCCACTTTTACTGTGGGACTTTGTCTCTAATACAAACCTCAACACACTGGTTTTTGTTTCTCTGGCCTCTTTAGCTATAGCAAAGTTGACCTTGAATACGTACGCTTGTCTATATTGCAGGTATATATATATATTGGGTGCGTCTGAACATATGTAGCTAGAGTGAGTGTGTACATTAAGTACATTAAGGAAGTTTCTGCGAGCGTATTCAGATCATCGAAGTCACTTCATGTCTTCATCATTAATTTATTGTTCGTCACCATTTTGTTGAATTTCAGATATGTATGGCCTCGCATATACGTCACCATGAATTTGTATATGGCACAGCGAATGGCACAAGGTAATTTCTCAAAATCCTTATTACTCTCTCACGCATCCAAAACACTTGCCTAAAGTGTAAAATTCTGCTATGTGTTTAATTATGTTCTATACAACTTTCCGACTTTGAAAAATCCATAAAGCTTGTACATTGTCTCTTCGTACCCCCACTTTATCTATTTGTATTTGTTAAAAAATACATTTTATTCTTCGTGAAATTATATATGGTTAAAGATAATACTTTAAAATATATATTTTGTAAAGGCTTCCAAAAATCCAAGTGGGGTTTGTTGTTTCAGATTACTAATTCTTTCTATTATACTCTACATGCACCCATTTTATCTAAACTTAAGGAGTCCTTAGACCATGATTATCAATGGTCCTTTTCATGGTCCTTATTAATTTTGGTCCAAAAAAAATGAAAAAGGAGTATCTTGTTAAGGACTATGTGGAAAAGTCCCATAATAAGAAACTTTTGGGCTAGTCCTTAATGCCACGTGTCAACATTATGGCGGTACTGTTTCTCATCTTTCTCTCTCCCGAGTTCATGAAATCCCTGGATTTCAAATCCAAACTGATTGATCTCTTTTCACGTTCTCTATCACTCTCTTCGATCCAGAGAATTTTTGTTTCTGGAGAATTTTGATTTCAAATTCAAATTGAAATCGTCTGATTTTTGGAGAATGTAAATCATTTTTTCTGGATAACTTTGATTTCGAAGAAAAATAAGAAAAAAAAAACAATGATTATGGAAGAGAAGAAGAGATAAAAATGGCACTATTATTCCTCCACGTGTCTCCTTCCTGCCACAATTTATCATTGACTCCTCTCCGCCGGAACAAATCGTCGGGAACGTTTTCGTCGCCGCCTCGTCTCATTTCTTCTCTGCGTTTAGAAGTCCTACCAATAATCTAATTTTTTTCGATTGTCCCTAACATTTGTCTTTAACACCATAATACTATTAAAATAAGCAGGCTAAGGACATCAATTTGGTCCTACTGATAATCATGCTCTTATTCCTTTTAGTCATGCATGGATGAAGAATTTTATCACTGCGGCGTATTATCATACAATATAGAGAAGTTATAAGATCTAACCTTTATGTAACATTTTAAAAAAGGTTAGGACACTTTCACAAAGAACAAATTGTCATGAAGTATACGTCTACCCAAATCATGATCTATTACTGTCTACGAAAATTTTCAACTTTTTAAATTCCTAAAATTATCCCAGAAATTTGTTAACTTGTCATAACTGAAAAGAGTAAGAGCACCCGCAACAAGGATTTCTTAGGAGAATCCTTAGGAAAAAAGAAAAATAGGCATTTCAGATTATATAAGGATATTTTGGATTTTTGCTTTTCTTTTAAAAAAAAAACTGACCATTCGCAGGCCGTCACGTAGACAGTGGAACCCACGAATAGTGTAAAGATCAATCCTTAAACAAGGATTTTAAGAATAGAATCTTTGTTCATGGGATTCATTGATTATAAAATTAATATTTTTTTAAAGATTCTTGCTAAAGACTCGTTGTTGCAGGTGCTCTAAGGACCACGTGTAACGCTTTTTGTCTTTACATTGTGAAACTGTATCTCGCGCCATTTTCCATCTATGTTCACAATCTTTAGTTTATTGTCGCAAGCACTTCTTGTGAAAATTCAGATATGGCTTGGCGTCTACATCATACTATATTTATCCATAATTAAATTATAACATTGATTTATAACGTAATACAATGTATTTTATTATCCTAAGTCTAGATTACTTAACACTTCTTTTTTTAGAAATAGGTTAAGAGCTATCTGGTATTACATATTTTTTTTGGGTAAAACTAGTATTACATCTTTGACCTGTTAAGCCCAGGAAACATAACCTTGTTCGTTTTGTTAAGGAGGCGAGAAAAAGTGCGGCGAATAAATAATAAAGGCCACGTCAGCTCAGATTGCCACTGATGCTCTAGAACTGCTCGTTCTTCAGTTCAGATTGCCGCTGCGACTGTTTTGGAAGCCGCTGTGTTTTACGGCGTCCGTTAAAATGAGTCAATGAGGAGTAGCGGCAATTACGGCGTCACGACTGCCTTGGTTTTCTTCTCCTTCATTTGTTGTTTAATGATTCCGTTGTAGCTTTATTTTTGACGCTGCGGCATGAGATCAGGAATACTAGTTGTGGCTTCCTGATCTCATGTCTTAATTTCAACAAATTATTCTCAGGAATATGAACAAGAAACTTCAACTGATAAAGACAGGAGAGTTTGTGTTATTGTAGTATGAAAAAGTGATTACCGACAAAAAAGAAGAAGAAAAAAAGTCAATCTGATCCGATAGATAATTAATGTACATGTTTAATATATACAATATACTTTCAATAAATAATTAATGGGTTTTAAAAAAAAATTTATGTAGAGATTTAAAAAGACATGACGGTTGCATTATACATACGTACGTTGCATCTCATCTCCCAACCTTTAAATAATTGTGACGGTTCCCATCGAATCGTTTTAGAGAGTTATAAAATTTCAGATCTCACCTTTTTCGTTTTCAACGTGTAAAAGACAGAACTGTTTACTCTAACTAAAACAACAACAACCAAACTTGTATTAATGACTATCAGAGTTAGGTGTCAACCATAAAAACTTCTTCCTCAGCCAAACATTGTTTTGCTAGCTTATGAGCAGCATTGTTATTTCCCCTTGACATCCAAGAGAAAGAAATTTCATTGTTATTTCCCCTTGATATCCAAGAGAAAGAAATTTCATCAAAATAACTAGACAAGTTACAAACATCCGAGAGAATTCCATACAATTCCAAAGGAACGTTTCATGTCTTAGGTCATTTCTAATCTAACACTAAAACTCTATTTTAGTGTGATTTCAACACAAAAATCTTCTCTAATTCAATACTAAACTTCACACTCTTTTAGTGCAACACTATAATTTCACACCAAATTTAGTGTGACACTAATCATCATACTAAAAGACTATTCATCCTACTAAAACACTATTCCCTCTATTCCTAAAAGATAGATTTTCTAGTGTTTTCACATATATTAAGAAAACACATTAAATCACTATCGTTTCAGTAATTTTCAATTTTCAACAACTTTTAGCCAATGGTAATCTAATAAAACCAATTAATTTTTTTGAAACTTGTAATTTTCTCATAGAAAACATAGAATATACATCTTTTTTAAACAAAATATTTTTCCAGAACATAGATCTTTTAGGAACATAGGGAATATTTACTTATTTTATTAATAAATTATGCAATTAAATAAATGATAAATAAAAATATAAATACATATAATATTATAAAATAGTTTTTAGTGTCAAGTTTAGTATTGTGGTTGGAGATGAACTTATTTTTAATGCTAAAATTACATTAAAATATTATAGTTTCAACACAAAAATAATGTTATGGTTGGAGATGCTCTAATAACTAAACATATTAATATTCTTGTTTTTACCGAAATTAATGGTAACTACAGTTAGTTTGAAAGAATGAACCCACACCACAACCGTCATCATCCGTGACAACCTTTGGCGTCATAGCACACATGCAAGATGATTCTTTTTTTCTTCTTGGTCATACATCGCATTATTAGTTAGGTATGTGTAGCATTAAGCTCCTTTTTTCAGCTCTTAAGCTCTTTTAAATGTCTTTGTTTAAATTTTGTAACCGTACCGTAAAAATTTAAACACTGCGTTATTGACTTTTTGCAATATATTAATCAGTACTATTAATAGATGTATTTCATATCAGTTTTTTTTTTAAAAAAAGTTACGAGTTTTTTACTTTATATATGTTTTAATTAGGGCTGGGCAATCGGGGTCCCAATCGGGTTTCGGTTCGGGTTCATTCGGGTTTCGGGTTTTCGGGTTCATGAATTTCAGTCCCATTCGGATACTATAAAAATTCGGGTCGGATTCGGTTCGGGTTTAGTCGGGTGCGGTTCGGGTTTAGTAACATATCCAAGATACGGTTGAACCCGAAATAGTTTCGGTTTCGGATACTAATCGGGTTATCGGTTCTAAAAATACTAATTTATAGTCAATTAAACTCACTATATTTTCAATCATTTTATTAAATTTGTGTATTTAGCTTCTACAAAACATATTGTTCTCCTTCAAAATAATATTGTGAAACTCATCTATCAACCATATAAGATTTGTCAATGAACTATATGTGACAACACTAAACATATCATGATTAATGACAAACCAAAGCCTTGTATGAACGAAATATAATACATAATGAAACATAAAAAAATAAAGTTAACAACTAACAATTCTATAAACATAAGAAGTGCTATTTAAACTTTTAAAAACAACATTATATAAACTTCAAAACAAATTTATTCGTAACTTAACTTCAAATGTAATGTCAATCATAAACATTAATATTAACCAAATAACACTATATATTAGACTAAATATTTGAGTTAATTATTTATATCATAAC